ATGAAAATAAGACGCCAAAGTGGGTAGTGTGATGGAAAATAAAATAAATCGTTAGGTCCTAGCAAATCTGTAACACTGCAAACACTAACGAACTCAGAAAATGCACAAACTGATCTGCCTATCTCACGTATAGGCAGCCATTAATTAGAATTCTATACGTCATGAGGTAAGGACCAACCCAACTGCACTAAAGATGTTTAGAGAACTATTCCGTGTCTTCAGTAGTCAATCAGCAGCCAAGTGTATACACACTGTATCTGCCACATATTCATATCCTTATGCAAATAAAAATTCCATACCGATGTCTTCATCTCCTTCAATTTCCAGATTAAAACTAGGCAGGATCCAAGCTCAACCCCAAACGCTGGTTGTGTTATTCTCCTAGGTCTGTCGATAATGCAGAGAGAAAAGTTAAAAAGTGAGTGACACAAGAGGGACACTGGAGGATAAAATGAGGCCAGATGTCTGACGGGTGTGTGAGGCAGGCACTTCTCTTGTCATGGATTCCTTTTCTTCCTTTCTAAAGGCTGACTCAGGAACCGAGATAAACACAATCAACGCCTGGGGAGGCATGCTGCTGAGGAGCAAATACTCTCATTCATGGGCAGCAGTTGCAAAAGAGCCTTTGCAATCCCCTATGCTAACCAACCGCATACCGATAGGAATGGTCCACGTCAACCCCTTTTACCGTAGGCGCAGACAAAGCTACTTCATCACTTTTACGAATAAAATTCAAGTGCATTCACCACGGTTAGTTGTGCAACATTGAGTTTGAAGGGCAGCACTCCAATCAGTAATAAGTGCCCTGTCTGTCGCCCAACGCACTAACAGTCGGATCAAGTGTTGTCTGTGGACCAAGTTGGCAGATAACAATAGGTCCGATAATGATATTGCTAGTGGGTGCATATTTAGTGCCTCGAATCAGTGAATATCCGTTAGAATCCACAAGGATCATCTAGTAGACTGAGGCGCTGTACGCCATTGGCTGCAATACTTTGGCCTCCTATAGCAGGAAATCCAAATGTGTAGTGTGAAGATACACCAACTGCCAATGCAGAGCACGGGGATTTCTCTTGCTTAACAGTGAACGCTCATCGTGGCAAGTGAAAAGTCAGATCGTAAAAGACCGGTGCAGACATGAACAACTTGTTGCGCATGCAGTTACAGGTGCACACAAATCGAATCCTTCCGTGATAACGATGAGATAAACACAATTTCGCAAGAGATGGAAATTTATTTTGGAAGATGACAAAATAATTAGCCTCGAGACAAACAATGGAAGCATGGAAACGCTAACTTACACTATGAGTTGGGATAGTTATGGGCCTTCATGAGGGAGTGGGATGGTTCCATTGCTGCTGCCTTAAAGGGACAAGGTAAAGGCTAGAAGGAGGAAATATGTTTACTTAAGCAAGTAAAGGAAAATATAAATTGGTCTTCACTCCTGAACAGCCTTGCTTTCTGCCCTCTCTACACTTCTAAATGCAGGCTAGTCATCAAGACGTACGTGTTCATTGTGGTGAGAACCAAGGCCAGCCGGTGTAGAGGTCGTAGCAGGAATGACTTAATTCTTTGATGCCCAGCTCTTTCGGTTACTCATTTCAAAGGCATGATGTAGCTGAAGATATACACAGCTTACAACCCATCAGCTGTGATTCTGATGCCCATTTGCAAGGCGAGTAGAGACAGCTCAAAC